TTTGCTCAAGTTCCTAGACTTCGCAGTAGTATACAAAAAAACAGATGAATGGAAAAGGAGTGATATCAGATTAGGCAAAATTTAGTGAGAGAATAAAAAATTGAAAATAACGGTTAGTGAGAATATTCAAGCCTTAGATATCAAGGAGTGAATACATCTGCACCACTATGGGCGATTTTCAGCTATGTCATCAAAAGTCCCCAACCACTGATTTATTTTGTCTCCGGGACCACAACCAGGCACTCTGCATCGTCTCACATGACTCATACCAACAGTGAGAGACTTCACCGACTGGCGCCAGGTCTTGGACTAGCCACCCTGAACACTTCCAACCTAATTCAAATTCCCACAGCAAGGCACGTCGAGATAGGCAGTGGCTCAGCATGCGTAGTACATGTCCAGTCCACTACGGTTGATTAAGCTACACAACCTCATCAGTCGATATGCCTAGCACCTTTCGCTTGACCTCAACATTGATCACATGGTGACTATACCAAACAAGAGAAATGCTACCAAAACACCTGCAGTCAAAATCCTGAACCCGATTTATTTCTCCTACTTTTATCGACCATGTCTAACTGCAGAATTACAGGACAGGACGAACTGCAATGCAATATATTTATCATTAGCTTGGTGGTTGGATATCATGTCAGTCACTACAAAGGTGACTCAAGTTGCCAAATCCCAAACAGGGCTTCTGTATCCGAGATGAGATTTCGTCAGCAACCAGCTTGTTCAAGCTGATGGAAGTCTAAAAGTTAGTGAAGTAATCGACACATCCCACCGCTTCACTCCCTATCATGAGGCTGGGAGTCATTGCACACCAGTCCTGAGGCATCATCTTACATTTGAGAGGTGTAAGAAGCATGTGAAACATTCAGATTTCTGCACAAGGTGTCCAGAAGACTCTGCATTTTCTCAGCATCTCCAGCCAACAGGACATAATTGTCTATATACTCCAAGTCAACCAGATGACCTCCAGGGGATAGGTCAATCCTTGTGAAGTCAGACCTACGTAACAAACTATTAGAAACTGAGAAGTAATAAGTGATTATTATATCTTACTGTAGTCAAGGGCTTGACTAGGATCTATGTTTCCTATGGAATACGACTAGCTAAGGAACACTCAGCTTCTCTCAAGAATGTAGTACATACGCTGAGCACAATACTTGAAGAATTCACTTCTTCATGTTTTCGGTGACAAAACCAGGTCTCCGCACTGTCTCTGTTGAATTTTTGGATAAAAGTATCAAATAAAGTTACAAAACACCTATTTTCACAGAGGTTTCCTGATTCTTTAGATTAGTTTTGGCGAGTAATAAATGTTCCAGTTTCAAAAGAAAACGATACCAGTACTGAACAACTTTAGTAGTTGGAAACCACCCAGGCTGACCCGTGGTATTTCGCCACCCAGATCTCGGCTGAGTGGTTTCCAGTGGAATCGTTGTTGACACCTCATTCAGGTAGTTAGAAAACTACTATCCTGGGAGAAATATCAACTTGGACCATGCAATTTGTAAATCACTTGCAAACTAGTCATTCTGTTTTAGGTAGGCCAATCGATACCAGTAAGGTAGCCACAGCCATATTATTTGCCCTAACTCGGTTCTAAAAGCTGTTTGTCTGGGTGCAGTGCTAATGAACTCGCTCCTAAACAAGCGGAAAAGTGGTCTGATGTTTAGACCACTCTGATCTGACTGACCAAAAATTACAGACCAGCTTGACTGATCTGACTGACTACTCAAATTGTTCAGTACTAGTATCTTTTACTATTTCATGACACTTTTGTGTCAGAGATCATATATTGTGATCTTGGCTGATTAGTTTCCAGAGGAAACCTTGTTGCCACCACGGGGAACTAGTTGAAGAACTACTCAACTGTGAAAAATATGCATGTGGACTGCTTAATTTTTAAATCATTTTCAAATTGATCATCCTATTAAAAACAGAAAATTATCAAGAAGAATGAATGTGCATTCATGTACCAAGCATCTGATCTTCACAATTCACCAACTGACTAGTGAAACAATAAGCATCCTTCTTGGATATAATAAACTTAGTATACACTGAAACAAAAACTTTCGTTTACCGCAGCCTTCCATGCGACTGAATTAAAATGATGGTCAGTAATATAGTTGATGTGGTGTAGTATGTATGCACCATTGTTCAAGCTAAGCAGCTAATTTTAAAGGACAGATGTGCTAAGATGATGAAGCGATTACTCAAACTTTCAGTTTAACAGAGGTGGTAACTTGCACACAGTTTCAACGTGTTATTTCAAATTAGGCTTCTAAAACAATTTAAACGCACATTTTACGAATCTATACTAGTCATTTGGCAGTAGGAGATGTACCGTCGTAGTTAAAAGAGGTTCAAAAGAGTTCAACTCTGATACACTGAATGACTGAAATCAAAGTCCTGTTGAAATTAAAAACACCACGCCTCCTGTCTAACTTCTAGTGAGAAGTTTGGTCACCCTAAAAGACACTGTGGTTTGAATAAGTTAAATGACAGTGAGTTGAACAGATAAGGACGTTGTTGTGAATGGAATCTAGATACTATTTCCAAGTGAGTGTAGAATCCTTCTATGCATAAAATGAAAGCATAGGTTTCATGTATTTATTTGGTCAGTGTTTGTTCCTGCTAAAAATCAAAAGGTTTTAAAAACGAGTTCATATTCCATAACGGAAAGTAGACAAATGATTTCGTAGAATAGACATTCATTTGGAGGCATCGAAAGCAAATTTTTATTTCTGGGGAATAATATTTACAGCTTATCTGAAGCATTAAGTGGATTGCTATTCTTTAAAGCTTTAAACTTATGCTGTTGAATGGTATTGTAGGCGAAGCTGCGTTCTAATTATTCGAGGTTTATAACCTCCTTCAGATTTGGTCTAAATATGAAAGTGTACACCACATAATGGGTGACACTGGGTTTTAGCTTTAATTACAGATCAGAACCTGAATAATAAACAAATAGGCATAGTGTCTACACTAAATAAGTGAGAAAAAGATATGATGAGTAGTTCATGAGAGAATATGATTTGAGTTGATCATCTGTGGTTATTTGCAGGCTGTACAGTTACATAAATTTCTGCCGATCTATTTGAAAATACTAAATCTTGGAGCCTGAAGAGTAGTAACTGATGAACAATGTTTTTAAGGACTTATGTGAAATGCCTTTGTACAGTTATGAGCAATATCAGTGTTACTTGCCGTACTTTACCAAATTAGTTTGGCAGTAAATGGTGTCTATTAGTTTGTTTTAAACGAAGTACTTGGAACTGGAAGAAACATAAGACAACACTATGATTAATGGCAAACAAACTGGTCAGAAATCAGAAAGCCTCGACGGAAGATAATCGCACTTGCTGTACAGATTCTCTGACTCTGCAGTCACCAGTACTGTGGGCAAAGTAAGTTGTTATTATGAAATTTTACCGTCAGTATGTACTATCTGCGATTTCTAGTTTTGTCGACAGTGGTCACATACCTGACTCCCTTTAAAAAGTTTTGCGCTAACCAGTAATACAACTTCAGTAGACAAAATAATCAAGAATTAGTGCGATCAGTGAGCAAATGAACGAAAGTTTCATTGATTAGGCTTATTTGCAAAGTATGAATCTTCGTTGCTCCCGATACTTCTATTTATTAGTCAGGTTACGAAAAACTTGGTTTTTCCTTCAAATTTAGGTATTGAATTTAAGGGAGTTTTCGGTTAACGTAACAAGATGGAAGCTGCCAAAATATTTTGGGAAAAGACCAGAAATTTTACGTTGACAGTTATGTCTTATACTTGTTCTTGTGCAGACAGTGGATAACACATAACATATGTGTGTACAAGGAATATCGATGAGCAAAAAATTCGAAATAGGCGCCCATTTTAAGAGAAAATGATGAAATAAAGAGCCGTTAAAATTTTTTGATAGGAATACCGAATGCTGCAAAGACTATAGAATCAGTTATTCCTCCGGCATTCTTATCTCTACTCCTTAGTCAGCAGTTTTTTCTCGAAAACTTACCACGAATAATTACTCATTATCTAAAATAATCTATGCTTAAGTGTTCGTGGTTAATAAATAAGTTTTTTTGGAATTCTATTGTTTTGAAGCTACGTCGAATACTGAAACTCCAAAATCCTATCAGAATCAAGAAATAAGCAGAAAATTGGTTGCAGTTTAGGTTACGTTACATTCTATTGTTCCATGTGTTGCGATTTCCTAAAAGAAGGTTAGTAGAGATTTGGTTGAAAACTGGATGCCTAATATGTAGATGTATAAGCAACTAACTTTTTAAGATGTAGCAAACAGTAGATGTGATTTAAATAAGAAAAAGAATTCAGCCAAAAGTCAATAAAGGGAGATTTTGTATCACTAGTGTTTTCTCATTTTATTTGACCTTCTTGGTTACTTATGCTCTGCGAACTCTTAATTGGTAATTCTGTAGTTAAACGATACTATATGTCTTCATAATTACTGACGACTATACGTCAACTCTAACAGTATGTTACTTATCTACTTCAGTGTTACAGGTGGTGGTAGAATACATACTTCTGGAAACGGTGAAAAAATTATTATTGTTTTTCAAACTTTTGCCATTGAAAGTCATTTTTTGTACTAGGAAAGTATACCTAAGAAAAGAGACGGAGATTAATTATTAATAATCAAAACAGTAAAAATTTATTTTGGTATGGATGGAAGTGTCAGCGACAGTCAGATTATTCTGGCGCCTATAAAATAATTCATACCAACTCCAGGTTTTATTTAGGTCAAATTACTCATTAATTCATGAAAATTGCCAGAAGTTGATAAATTCAGAAATTAGGTGAAGTAATTCCTTATTTTTTAATTTTTACCCGCTATTTACTAAGAAATAACGTAGTGTGCTAAAGCATTCACGGAGTTACGATTACCATAAATGTATGAGCACATTAAGAGGGTTACAATAATAATATTTATTATCTGTAGAAAAGGTATACTGTCAGTTACTTTAATACTTACTCAGCTTTTCCTGTTATGCTGTCCAAAGGTTTTTTAGATATCCTTTGTTGACTTTCCATTTTCTCTTCATTTTCCAAAAAGTTCCATATCTGCGATGGATCATCGGATAGTGCTATACCTTTGGATGACATGACTTGAGATTCTTGTTCATCCAATGCAATATCTCCGTAGTATGCAGCTGTAAAAGAAAAAAATTGAAGAACCAACATGTAGCTGATTCTGATGATAAATGTTTTTTTAGGTACACAGTTATTTGAACCAAATAGTTATCATAAATAATGAGCTCATAACTTATTTTACTATAAAATGTATAAATCCGAAATCATATAAAGGCTGTTGAAACTTAATGGATAGGTTTTTAAAATTGTTTGTGATGAAGTGTTTTCATGACACCTTATCATTCCCACATATTTAGTACTGCGAGTAATGAATCTGAATGTTCGTTATACATGTTTTCTATTGCTAATATGGCTAAGCATTTTACAGAACAGTATCAGTGAAAAAGAAACTAAAATAATTTACGTCATGGTCACAATCTGACTTAAATCACTGAGATGCTACTCATTTTATGTTTATTTCAAACATACTTATGATACACGTGCTATGGTAGATGTTTTGTCACAGGTACAATGCTATGTAGATATTTCGTTGATTAAGTTACCTTTGGGCGTTCCAGTTAAAAATGTCAGTTGATTGCATTGTTCATTAAGGTTAGGAAAGGCTTTTAGGAAAACAAGTGAATATGTGAACGCGTATAAGTGTAGGCATATTCTAGGATAGTCTTGTAGAAAAGACAAGGTATGCTAAGAAACACCTCTTTTACTAGAAACAATCCTTATAACTGCCTAAAAAAAAATACTTTTTAAGGATTTTACCCAATAAACACTATACACTACCTGAATGGGATCCAGAAGTGGGAAATAAGCCATGTTTTCTATTTGGTTGTAATCAAGTAATTTTGTGGTAGTCGAATTTTATCATCCAGTCAACCAAAGGTTCATTATCTTACAAATATACAACGTATATTTTCAGACATTTGAGTTCAAATAATATCAACAACTTTACCAAAGGTTGTCATGTCGAAAAGCAAGAAAAAGGTTTGGCATTTTGATTGTTAAGGTAGCATTCATCATTGACTGAAATCAGTTGAATAACCATTGAAAATCTGAAAGTATTGGGCAAATGTTTCTTCCCAGTATGAGACTGCAAAGTGGTACGCATCCATGATCCCACCAGGGACTGAACCCCGGGAATTTCAGGTTCCGTGGTGAGCACCTAACCATGAAGACACTGAGTTGCGGTCTAGTGGTTAACATTTTCCTATCTTTGTCAGTTCAGGATAAAACACCAGAAATGTGAGACTAGACGGTCACAACTCAACGATGCCAATATGTTGATTGGAAACTTCTTTACTGCTAGACTTCTTCTTAAAATATGCCCTTAAAATATTTCTTATTTTATTTATATGTAAATTAATAAGAAATGATTTGTGATATATGGACATATTCTGAGGGAGGAGTCCTGTCATTTTTTATTGTTTAATCACAGTATGCTTAAAACAGAGATGGTAATATATGGTCTATTCTATATGAAAAGAAACAAGTGGAAAACGGAAATGTAAGTAAACAATACCCCAAAGCAGTAACAAGATTAGTAATGTCAATTATAACAATGTGCCAGTTGATGTTCTACATTCATTATTCTTGTTTATGTGCACCAAAAGAGATAAACAACTGAATGAGTAACTCGACTGATTCAAAATATCAATAAGTGACTAATTCATTCATATTTTCTGTTCATCAGCACTGAATAGATTAAAACCTCTTAACTGTTTATCTTTTCCTCTCAGTAGCTGAAATAAGTGTTCTGTTGAATCAAAGAGACGCTAGTCAAGTCAATTTTTTGCTAAGAATATTAATCGCTTGTGATCATACTTTTGGGTTCTGTATGCCTTTTGTGCATGAACTACTGTAATTTTATTTGAGGCATTCGCTGTAGTTTTACAGTAAGACCTAGAACGCCCGTTGCCTCTTGTCTCTGGTCTCTCACAAGAAGATATTCCGAAATCTATCTAATGAGACCCCACTGTCATAGGTAAAAAATGGAAAGTCTGTAGACAAAGAGTCCACATTTTATTTCAACAACTTCTTGCATCAAATGTCTCATGAACTCTAGCACATTTACATGATAAATCCCGAGTGAAACAGGATCTGTTAACTGAAAACTTTAGAAAGTTAGCAGTGAGGCTATAGAGGCTATTATCAAAAGAAATAACTAAATCCTCTCATAAATGGTGCCTCATGAAATGTCGCCAAACAACTTTCCCCTGTAAATCACATTGGGCAAAAAATTGTGTTCGTTACTGTTTTGTTTTCCTCATTTTTGATCGTATAGGTAGGAATATATATATATATATATATATATATATATATATATATATATATATATATATATGCAATAAATACTTCTGATTGTTAAGATTCACACTGAACTTGATTGGTGGCATTTAAGCAAGGTGTTTCGAATAGTTTTTACTTATCATTCAATAAACATGGCTTTATACAAAGTGGAAAATAATTACTTATTTTCGAAATGATTTCAATTATTCGAAATTTCTCTTTTAACTTAGCCATTATAAAAACTAGTTGAAATTTCTTTTTTTCCAGTACAGAAACTATTTTATTGGGGTATATTTAGTTCCACTGATCTTGGGAGTTAAGTTATTGTGATTCTGGTGTAAAACGGTAAAACGGTTTCTTTAAAAGGATTGCTCTTGATTTACATACACACATGATTTCTACAACCAGTGGCTGCATGTTTCACGTCTCTCTTATCGAAGTAAAGCATTCACAAAATTTGAAAATAGATTAAATGGTTGATTAAGGGTCCAAATTTTCGTATTTGAGCAGTACTTCAGTTTTGGCACTTAGCACTAAAGTTTTTTTTGTTGTAGCTACGAAGCATATTTCATTTTGATGGTATTGTGTTCTCTCAGGTAGATGATTTAGTTCTACAACTTTTACTGTCATTTTAGATAACATCATCAGCATTAACTTCAGGAAGCGAACTATAGGGCCTTGTATTTGATTGGTTGTCCTGCTTAGGTGAAATTTGGTCTTAGTTGTTGATAGATTGGGTCAATATCAATATGCATTTGATCGCTGACTGACCTGAATATCAGTCGACCTTCTGAAAAACTTCTGACATTCTTCGTATTTCCGCTTTCCGTGACTTCTATATTTTTCCAGTCGAATTCATGGCCACAGTTATCCTTATACACTGATATTAGCGAAGATCTGTTATGACGCTTCACTGTTAGTTGATGTTAATGTAGACGGATGCGAAAAAGTGTTCACTCTGTCCGATGTGATATTTTTCGCAGTTTCTAAAGTTTACTTTGTAGATAATGTTTAGTTTGTTTTTCATCGCTACTGTATCTTTTGGCCTGCACAACTGAGAGTGAACATAATTTATGGGCTTGTAAGCTATGGTGATTCCAAAAGACTTCAACAATCTAGCTGTGATCTCTGAGACGTTCTTCATGTAGGGGAAGACAATCCACTTGTCGGTTTTTTATGCTGGCTTTTCAGTTGACGACGAATTATGCAAACATCTTTTGATGAAATTACGTGAATAGCCGTTTTGCTGGAGAACAACTAGCTGTGAGACGTCATAACATATCTCAGCTAATATCAGTCCATGTGGACATGAGTTTGAGAAAATGCAGAAATCCTGGAAAGAGGAAACAAAGAATGTCAGAGAATTTCTAGAAGCTTGATATTCAGGTGAGTTAGCAATAAAAACTCATATTGATATTTACTCAACCTACCAACCAATAAGAAACAACAAGAAGGTCAAATTTCACTTCGGCAGGGTTAGCAATCTAAATATATTATGCAGAAAACCCTACAGTTCACTTCTGTCTGAGGTTGATGTTGACGGTGTTGTCTAGATTGACAATGAAAGCTTCGCGATTAAATCATCCAGCTCAGAGAATATTGGACCATCAAAATTATTCTCCTGAGCTACAAATATTCTTCTTTTTAAAGAAACTATGTTAACCGTTGTTATGTTTGTTCTCTCCAGTAGCTCATTAATGTTGTGAAGAGAATATCATTTGTGGCGAGAAAGAAAGTTTAATTACTAATAATTCCTTAATTTCCTAGTTTATTTCTCTCTGATTCCTCTTGGGATAGGAATATTTTACTAGGATGGTCATAAGACTAAGTAAGAACGCGTGTGCATCTGTCATCTTAATAAAATTTACTATATATTGATTGAAGTAACACTGAGATTCAGTTGCACATGACTTCTTGAATACCACTTTTTAGACAACTCTGTCAGCAGTTAGAATACTTAGAGAAAAAACAAACATAGTAAACGCTTTACTTAAGTTTGCCTAATCATCTTATAATTGTAAAATCAGCCTGGATACCTTTACTAAGTTTGGAGATGATTTTGCTTACTGTTATTAAGAACGGTCGCTATGGTCCTTAAGATTTATTCAGTAAGCTAGGATGTACCGATTCAAGTTGAAATGGAAACATGAACCACAATAATAATCAGACATAACAACGGAAACAGACTGTAAGAAATGAAATGCACTAAATATATAATCATACATTTACTGTTAGGAGATTAAATGTGATATTTTGTAGTTGCTGCATCAATGCATTTTTATTCACAGGGTGTTTGTTGACTCTAAAGTATAACCTGAATCCACATCAGTCCTTTCCATATACTGATATTTCATAGTATTCGCAGTTTTTAAAGGGTAAAATTACGAACTTATTAATAGAGGAGCCCAGTTGTAAAATCGAGCTCCACATTAATTGTTTCATGAAACGTATCACACAGAGAAAAGTATGACTTTATGGGTGGCTTTCTGAGCACAATCTACTGTCCTTAGTAGTATGGACAGACCATAGTAGTCTTTGAGGGTTGATAAAGCTGTTCAAATACAAAAAGACAGCTACACTGATAAACATTATTAAGACAAGGAATCTAAGAAGTTTGGCTATAGCTATACCCCCCGATTAAACGCAACCACACAATAGAATAAAAGAGAATGACAACTGATAACCAAATTATTTATGGAATAATGACGAAGTATGTGCAACAGAAATGATTCACTAGCTGTTTCTCAAAATGGAAGATTCTATCACTTGTAATATAATA